TAGGCTGTGCTCCTGGCTGAATGTCAAGCACCTGGCAGTTATAACCTTTTGCTTTATTGTTTGTCTCTTATTGTCTTTTATTAAACTTTTTTTAAAATTTATCAGGAAAGTGAACCTCGTTTTTCACATTGCAATGCCATTATAACACCATCATATATGCATCAGAACTAATTTACATAATGCTATCTCGTGGTTATAAACAGTTCTTCTGTTTGGGTGGTCTTGGGGGTCTTCTTTGACAAAGGTTCAAGGCCTTCCTGAACATTTTTAACTTTGCCTTTGGACCATGCACAGTTATGGTGTTCCTTGGTCTTTCTGGATCTAACCAGTCTAAATTCTCCATTTGGTGGCTAATTGCCTTTACATTTGCCAATTTCTCATTAGTACACCCTGCTGCTTCTCAGTATAGCTGTACTTGTGTATTTTTGAGATTATTCACCTGGCCAGTTTCTGTTTATTTAAGCATTAAGGACTAATTAACCATATACCAGCTATTGCATTATATAGAAAGAAAATTTTCAGGTTATATTGGTATCTTACAACTCAAGCTATGTAAGCATCTTGTAACTTTGACCCAAGTTATATAGGCATGACCTCCACTTAAGAGGATTCGTTTAAGATTTTCCCAAGTCTGTGTTGTGACTGTGATCTGTGGAAAGTGTCTTTGTGTGTTAGTGCAGGTCTGCCCATCACAGGTGATCGTTGCCACTGGGTGTCATAAAACCTCCCCTGATAAAACCAACTCCTCGGTGAAATAATGCCATTTCCAAAGAGCAAGAACTCTTCCTTTCTGACCTGCAGGTTTAGGGAGCTCAAATTTTCACAGAACTGTTTCTTTCTACTTGAACAATGAACAAAGCAGCATCGAGGGTTTGCCAGCTCTTTCTTAGTTTTCCCAAGTCTTTACTGAGAGCCTGGGAAAACGGCACCTGGCAGCTGACAACCTGTGGGATTGAGACTCTTGTCTGTGATAAAAGATCCTGGGAATTACGTGGCTCAATACCTTTGAGGCCCTGGAATTTTCATCCAGTCTTTGGCCTGGGGCTGGATTTTCCCTTTCTTTCTTGTTTTTTCAATCTAAAATTCCCCGTGAATCAGAAAATGCCATGACCTGAATGCAGTTCTGTCACTGGTGGGGGTTTTGGGGTCCCTTTGGGATCCCTGAGGCTGCTTCTGCAGCCCTCAGTGATGGAGCAAATTCCCGAGCCTTGCCCAGAGAGAATTGTGGCTCGTGGGGAGCTCTCAGACCAGCGAGG